AGTACAAGATTCGAAATTTCAACACCAACGTCAAGTCAGTCAGTTCTCCACTATGGGTCAGAAACTTGGCCAGCGTGTTACGAAAAGGATTTCCAGCAAGTTACAGACTTTTATCAATAGCTGTCTTCGCTGGCTCCATACTGAACATCAAATGACCTGTCAGAAAGATTTAGCAACAAGCCAACCAAGAGCCGATTGCTCAACTAATATGTAGGAGAAAATGAAAATGGATCGGGCATACATTGAGGAGGCCTTCGAATGACATCGCATGCTATGCAGGCCATCGCTTGAGTAGAATCCAAATGGGAAGCGACGAGTGGGTCGTCGGTGAGAGGGTGACATGGAAGAGATCGTATGAAGAAGAGATGAGAGATTTTGGTTAATCATGGACCCAGCTGAAGAGGACGGCAGAAAACAGAACAAAATGGAGATGTGTTGTTGAAGCCCTGTGTTCCACTCAGAACACGAGGGAATAATGATAATAAAGTGATCTGTCCTGACTTATAAACCATCTGGCCCTTCTTTACGCTGACGACGTAAAGATTTGGACAGCAACAAGTTACTCACAAGCGTCAGATAGGCTGCAGAATGACCGAAAATTCTGGATGACTAGGCACTGGTCAGTGGTATGACTTTCAACCTGAAAAATGCAAAGTAGTACAACCGCTCACCTGTAGGCTGCAGAATGTAAGTTGCACCATGTGTAACTGTTAATTATCCTGTATAACGTCAGAGTGCGATTAAGGCCTAGTGCTAACAGAAATATTGACACAAGAGTGAATTATATGGGCAATGTGGCGACCGCATATGCGGTTATAGTCTTTACGCATGGACAGCTGCGCTCACTCTTCAGCTCGTTCTAAGGTTGTACAAAACATACATAAGACCACACTTTGAAGCATACAATATCACGGATCCCTAGTTACACGGAAAGGACGCTAGCCTTCTGGAAAGAGTTCAAAGACTAACAATAATTCCGATTATGAGACTATAGTACATCCACGTTTTCACATTCTACTATGTGCTAACACTGTACACGGTGAAAGATGGACAACGTTGTTTTCAGAAGCACAAGTGAGAAGTCGGAAAGATACATTTTCAGAGAAATCGAATCTCAAAAAGCGACGGGTGAACGCGAAAGTGCATAACCACGTTATATATATATATATATATATATATATATATAATTCAATAATACAATGGCAAATATTCCATAATCATATGCAAAATTAGTTTCTGTAAGCGTATAACATGCATATATGAATTAGTTTTACAAGCCTACGGTTCCAAAGCTTCTAATAAGTCTAAAATAATTTTAACCTATGCGTCGATAATGCCTGTTTATGGTAAATGAATGTTTTACTTACCTTCAATGAACCCACAATGTACTGAAATAACTGATATTTCTTTAAAAGAGCATTGGACGCTTTATTAATGCGACGAAACCTTAAAAATAAGATTTTCAGCTAAAATAATGCCTTTGTTGTGGTGCTCTATTTGACCAAACTAGCGTACACGTATATCCTAGTACTTCTTCGCGTTTATTATTATGTCTTAACGTCGTGATTACTCGACATCCACAACGTAAATCGAAAGGCACTTGAGAAGGAGTATGAACGTGTATTATCGCAATAATCAAAATTCAAAAGTTGAGCGAGTACAAATGTATCAATTGTTAACACGCAATATTTAGAGTGATAAACAAATCAAAGTCCAATTACATAGTGAAAGTATACTACAATGATGAGTAATAAAGTGGGTCACTACACCTTCAGTGCTGAAATAAAGCCGAGAAATTGCCACTATCCGCTGAATAAAGTCTTTTTCTCCTGAAGTATTGCCAGTCAGTGCTGTATCTGGGCTGAGAGGGCTGAAACAACGCTGATTAGAAAACGCAGTAGGTTCTGAACTACTTCTGAAAATGCCTAGAAAACGCACAGAGTGCTGAATTATTGCCAGTCATGCTGAAAACCAGCACTAAGTTCTAGTCTGTATGCATAATCAAGCCATTTCAGAACAATTTCAGAATTTACTCTTCATAGAATGTTAGAGTCAGTTCAGAATTAGCTAGATTTAATTCAGCATTATAGCAAGCTTGGGTTAGGCTTAATATAGTGGTGCTACAGACCAAAGTGATGTTGGGTTTCCGAAATGAACTATATGGTGGACTTCTGAAGCAATTACGTCATTTCATAATTTTTTTACCTTTAGCTTAGGGGTGACTTAATTACTGACTATAAGATAGCAAGAGACCAGAATCACCCTAAAAAGGTATTCTGTTTTTAAGTGCATATGAGCTTCCTCGTGGGAATCCAGGAAAGATAGCATATTAGAGAGCAAAGACGAGACCACCCCCATTTCTTTACAATTCGAGTTTGCCACTCTTGAAACTCTTTACCGGTAGATGTGGCTACTACACCATCCATGAAGAGCTGTAAGTGGAGGCTGGATAATCATGCAGCTACACAAGAACTCAGTCCTGACTTCCTTTCTCCTTAAAACCCACACACTACTAATGGGTGTACACCTAAACTCATCCTTTTACTACTGCCCGTTATCCCTTGTGTTGCTCTTATGACTTCTCTATATGTTCATTCACTTATATATATATGTTCCACTCGGAACCCAAGGGAGTAGTAGTCATATATATAATTTCAAATTTCATTAGCTACCAGATTCTACCTCTTAAGTCGACATAATCTACACTGGTTATTTCTCTTACTATTGTTATCTCTATTTTTGAACATACCGGACGACTAACGGATGAAAGGATCAACTTAACTCCATTCACAATAGCCACACGGTCTTGACACACCACATACTAAAAACAACATATAACCAATCCCAGCGCCACTGCCTCTGGAGTCAACCAAAGCTACGACACTTCAGTGGCGGGACGAACTACGCAGAATTTTACAAAAGACCAGGAACGTTTACCTTACGACCAAGAAATGAGTACACAGAAATCAACTTGGTTTACACTAGCTAGTAAAAACGATACTGGATATTGGAACGAGTACGAAATGGAAAAAATCCACCGGAAAAGAGTGAAGCATGATTTTGAGTTGATTAGTTAAGCAGATGACTAATGTTGACAAGTTAGCAAGATGCAATTAAGTGAAAATGCGCACATATATCCTCCAACCGCTAATTCGCCTGCTGTATATTACCAGAGAACCGTTAGAAAGTCAATCCAGAAGACAATTTGTTCCTCTTAAAGTATGAAATAAATTCCTTGTGCAGAAACGTATGGTAGTGATATCAACAACCGAACCTAACTCGATGGCGAGCCGAAGTAGCATAGGCAACTGACTGAGTGCCTTCAACCAAACAAGTTGACTTAAACAGTGAGGGCCAGCACCCGGTGTTGAACGGTTAGAGTGTTGGTTTAATGATATTGAAGAATTATTTACTGCTACACAAAAATACATCCGTCATACCATTAGAGGAAACTGACGGCAAATGTAAGCTCAGGAAGCTTTCTTGGCATATGAAGTCAACTTATAAGTAGTCTGAACTTTAATAATTAGCCTTGAGTGTTCCATTGCAGCTTGTGCTACTGACAAAGGTTTGTAAATAATGTACAGACTGTAATATCTTATGCAAAAGTCTTGAAAGTCACAATAAAAGGAGTGGTTAGGATTTGTAACAAATACAGAAACTGCAGAATAAAGAGAATTAAGAAGAGAAATGCTTCAGTAACCAGCTTAATTTCGAACTGAGGGTTTTCATATGTTACCAATACTGTGGGTAGTTTGTTTAACAAACAGTGTTGCAACAGTGACCTGTTTGCTTTTGCTTACATTGTCACCAATATCCTTGACGTCATTAGGGCTAATCTAACTAATAAAGTAATGATACATTGTAGGTGAGCGTGATTCCTAAATGACTTTTCTAGCTTAGCCAATTTAAACCTATAAGATTTTATCAGGTGCATGGCATGGGTTATGTGTGATTCATAATCGCAGAATGCATGTTCAAAGTTTTATTTACATTAGAAGGAGAAACCAAATTTCTTTTCTTTCTTCATTCTTGTTTTTTAAATATCCAGACCGTAGATGTCGCTAATTTTTTGGAATAAATCGAGTATCGAGTGGAACTGAATCATTATAAAGTTATTTAAAAAAATCAAAACAAGATTTTTTGCATATTTCACCTTCATATAAGTTCACTACATTTCATTTTATGCACTATTTGACTACATATTTCGATTTTTAAGAAAGTCCAAGTAATTCTACTGAAGTAGCTGTCGTATACACAGTGAAATGTTCAGAAAAATCTTATTTTGATTTTCTAAACATAATGGGATTATTTTAAGTAATTTTACAATGATTTGCTTTTTAAAGTTTCATAAAAGAAAAGATCGCCTTGCGTTACTTGTGAACAGTTCTTAACATCAATGCAAATCAGCCAATGATATCTCACTCATTTCTAGAGTATATCAAAAGTTAATCCTGTCTTTCACCATAAGTAACACCTAAAGACAAGTGAATAACTTATAAATTACAATATGTAGCTGTTGGTAATTTCCCAAAATTATTAGCGACAGCATTCATCACTGAACATCAGATGCTGACCCTCACTGTTTAAGTCGATTTGTTTAGCTGAAGGCTTACGACCAAGCATCCACGCCATTCGGCACACCGTCGTATTATGTTTGTTCGTGTATCATCTCTAGCTTGTTAAGCAAACAACCTCGCACTACGATTTGGTCCCGAAATACACTTCTTAATTGGGACGATCAGTTTCGGTGTTTTGCTTTGCCTTTGGTCTACGCGGAATGAAAACTATAGAAGTTGTGGGTATTAGATCTTTTTGCGTTAGTATACTTCGTACTATCCGTTAACGTCAACACCCTCAACCTCTAAAAATATATATTTGAATCTCAATATTGATAAAAAAATTTATTATAGGTATTTAATGAACTAATCAAACAGTATCAACACATTGTTTATGCAACATCAACAAAATCATCAATTACACTGAATAGTATAAAGTCATTACATCAATATTTAGTTTTCATCCCAAATTGTCTTATTAAAAAATGACGATATTTTAAACATGGTTTATTAACAAATATCCTTTTGACTAACTATCATCAGTTTTACGATTTTCATGATCATATTTATATTTGTGAGAACTATGCTTCAAATAATGCTTATGAGATGGATGGTAGTAAGACGATTGTAATGATGTTGTCTTTGAGGTAGATGTTGATGACACTGAATTCATTCGATGATCAGACTTTGAATTGTTCTGTTTTTCATATTTGAGAGAAATTGATCGACTACTTTCTTGCAGTCTTCTTGATTTTTTCATCTTAAAATCTTTACTACTTGGCATGCATTCAACAGGTATTCCTCTGTCTACTATATGCGGTTTAAATGGCTTATTAATTCTTCCTGATGGTTTACTGACATCAGAGTCTAACTTATTGAAAAAGATTTGTTTTCTTAAAGATGATGAGAAATATCTTCCGGGATAAGTTCGATACTTATTATTATAGTAGCTTCGAGGATTGTATTCACGAAACTTTACTCTATAGTTTATCTTGTTTTGATGGATAAAATGTGATGGTTTCAAGTTATGTGACTGATATTTTAGATGGTTAGTATAGCTTGTTGTAATGATATTTTTCGTTCTATTATCTTTATCGTAGCGATGGTGTCTGGCGGACAAGTTTATTCTGCTCTTCAGATTTCCACTGTGTGAGAGGATTTTACTTTTGTACTTAGGTGATGTATTTCTATCATTATCAGTGTCTAACCAGATTCCATTAGAGGAAGAATCATATTTTTTTCTTGAATAAACGTGAGAACTGGAATCACCAGTTCCTTGAAAGAGAGTGTATTCAGATGAGTCTCTTCTTCGACATTTCTTTCCACTTTCTTCAACATCACTTGTACCATCTGAAACAATCTCACCTTCTTCCTCCACATCATCCTGCCTTACCGATTCGTTTATCATTAAATTCTCTAATCTCTTAATTCCTTCATCTTTATTCCCGTTGTGATCATCTTCATTTACTTTTATGTCGTTGTCATCATTGTCGTCATTTTGGTTTTCATCATAACTCGAATCTTTTCTTAATAGATCATCTGTTTCCAAAAATACAGTTTTCGCATCATTATTCGCATAAACTACTTCCTCTTCTGTGTTACCATAATCTTTGCTAATGCGCATACTTAACTTGTAGTTCAATTCGACATTTGTCCTTTTACTTATATCGTTGTGTAAAACTACAACAGACTTGATCTTGTCGAGTCTTTTACGTTTTTTACTTTGTTGTTCTTCATCAACCGGGTGAAAATTAGGACTTGAGTATGTATCTAATTTTCTGCTGTTACTTTTCTCTTTCTTATAATTTTCTAGGTAATCTGGTTGTCTTTTATACTCTTTCGACAAATTTTCAAAATCACTTAAAGATGCATCATTGTCATTATCTAATTGATTTTCTTTAGATTTTTCACCTTCTGAATGAATCTCCTCATTTAAATTGTTTGAACTTTGTAAGTGATTATTACATTTCAATTTGTCATTTATCTGTAAGTTAATATCATTATTTGAATTCTCTGTATCATGTTTACAATTTGTTTCTGATAACTTTTCTTGTATATCTGATGATATTGCCAGTTTAAAGTTTTCAACATTGGAAACAGGAACATTCAAGGCTGATAAATTTGTCAGTATGTCATATTCAGAAGTGTTATACTTTGTGAATGTTTCAGACGCTGTTTGCATGGTACATTTGTTACTTTCTTGATTTTCGACAAGACTTTCATTAGTTTGAAAATAAGAAGGATCAGAGATACTAGGAAACAGTTGTTGCGACTGATATTGGGAATTATGATTGGGGTAGTCTTCTCTGTCTTTTGAAAAAGAAGCCTCATAATTCGACAAATTAGAAATAGGCTCTGTACTGACATTGGTTATCCTGTGGCTAACACTACTGCTACTACTACTACTACTACTACTATCAGTACTACTACTACTGCAATCGCTATTCCCAGTGCTGCTGCTACTACTTCCACTGCTGCTGCTGCTTCTGCTGCTACTTCTACTGCTACTGCTGCTACTACCTGTGCTTATACTCCTGCTTGTGAAATTATTTTGTACGCTACTCTGGTTGGTTTTACTTCTCGATCTTCTGGGTTGTATCGTTCCGTTTGATTCTTGAATATTTTGTTGTGTATGTAAATTATTCATTACATTACTTGAACAGCTTACTGTTACTGTTGATGACTTCCTGAGGCCAGTTGTTTTAGGTAATTGACAAATTAGGTTATCTTCATTAACCAAAAGATTAGATGCATCCAAAGCCTGGAATACGTTATTCGATGAAGCAATAGTTTTAGAAGCTTTTGAACAACAAACATCAATGTAATTATCATTATTATTGCAGATGACATTTTGCATTACATCAGGTATTTTTGGGATACTAGAAACTACGGAACATAATCTTGCTTTCATGGACAAATTATGATCAATCGGGGCTGAAACTGTTGATGATGATGGAGATATAGGCGAGCTGAACTCACTTGACTTCAGACGATAATCTTTGTGACTTTTATTGTTACCATAGTTATGTGAGTAATTGTTAGAGTCTGAAGAGATCCTGTCTGGAGTATCTGCTTCACATATAGCTTCTGGAGGGGAAAAAGATGAATCATGAGGCGAGGAATTGCTGTAACTACATGCCACCGCATATGGGGAAGGTGGTCCTCTGTAAATAGTTCTTCGTCCATGTTTGTTCACCAGAGTTTTTCTATAGAGTTTTTTAGATGCTTTGTCGTATTGTTCGTTAAGATGGTCTCTGCCCGACATCAGAAACCTACTTGATGATGATGGTATTGACATAGTTTGGGCAGTGTGAACATATGGCTTCTTAGAAAAGAAGTGGGAGCTCGAAGTTGCATGGCGAAGGGATGATCGAAAACCAGATTTCCATTCAGTTTTACAAGCACTGTGATAATCAGATTGTCTCCAAAAAGGTTTCTTATCAGGCATATAAGGACGTTCATTACGTCTGACAAACGAATGGCTAAGTGAGTCTAGACTCTTCCGAGATACCCGTTCAGAATGGGAGATTAAATATGGCTGTCTGGAAGATATAGGTCGGTATTTGTAATCCATTCGCTTGATAGTCTTGTCTAGAGGTAAATATTTATCGTCATAATACTCAGAAGTATGCTTACGAAAATCTTCTGACCTTGAAAAATGTTTGCTTGAACTAGTTTTAACAACTGACTTATCACCTAAGTGTAATGAATGACGCTCTATTTTCTCTTTAAATTTCTCCTGCTTAGACCAGTGTAGTTTCTTTTTCTGTGATCGATGAAAACGCTCTTTTTCGTCGTCGGTTTGTGGTTGGTAATAGTTTTCATTCGAGCGATTAGTGCTATATTTATTAGATCTTGGATTAATATTGTCTGAAGTAAATGAAACACATTCAGAAAATTTTGATGAATGTTCCAAGGATGAGTAAGAATGTTCCTTAGAATAACGTTTAGGTTTATAAAAGCGGTCGGCTGATAGTTGTATATCATTGGAAGACCCAGAAATAAACTTCTCATTTGTCGGTTTTAAGTTACTTTGAATAGAGTGTAGGTTTATATCGGAAGATATATCTGCCAAATGTTTTCTGTAGGTACACCTAGCAGAATTCGTATGAAGCTCACAAAACTTTGGAATGGTTGATATAGCTGATAGCTTAGTTTGATTAATTGGTAATGTATGGCAAGAAGCATTGCAATTAGAATCAAAGCATATTTGTGACTGGTCATTAAGTTGTTTAAGTTTCTCAGTCACATGACTGTTCAATGAGTAATTCGTTTCGTGTGGTAACACCGATTCAGCATTCATGTTAGTTTTCTTTATTCTCGGTGATGGTGGAGTTTTAGGTCCTTGATAAGGACGACAATCAAATCCACGATTTATATCCTCATGCTGCGATAAAATTGTCTCATGTATCATTTGATTCGGTTCAATTTTCAATAGAGGAATAAGTAAGGCCGCTAATTCATCATAACTTTTCGACTTCTGGTGAGTTTCAGTAATCATTTTATACAATATATTCATAATATCTGCAGCAGAGTAACTTTTTTGTAGATTTACAATTTGATCATTATGGTCATGGCTCATGAAGTTTTGCATAAATTCCAAATTTTCTTGATTTGTTTCAGATAAAATTGATTCTGGTTGAATTGACCTATTTACATAATGAAATAAAAATAGGATACGTTCACATATGTTAGTGAAATATGAAGTAAGGACTGATTACAGGCATAACAAAATATATTTGCTATCCTTTCAGTTAAATAACCTGACTGATTATTTTTTTTCCGAAGTCGTTAGAATTTAATTCATAGTTCAAAAGAGGTAGAGTTATAACTAGTTTACAAATTTTCGAGCACTGAAAATAATTCCAGTAACAGCAATGGATATGCTCACACAACTAATGCAAAATTTTTGGAAGGAAAGAAAAGTACCCACTGGTTGAAAAAGGCTGCCTTGTCCAACTACCCAAGAAGGGCGACATACGTCTCTTCAAGAATTGGTGCTATCTCCTGCAGTTATCCATGCCAAGCAAAATATTAAATGGTGTCATCCTAGGGGGAATAGAAAATACACTGGATGCAGAACTCTGTCCAGCGGAACAAGCTAGCTTCAGGAAAGGAAAATGATGTGTGGATCAAATCAAAACGCTACATATCATCACTGGATAGAGAATAGAATGGCAGTTAAACCTCTGCGAAAGCTTTATCGACTTTGAAAAAACCTAAAGTGTTAGCCATGAAGTGAACTGAAAACCACTTCAACTTTACGTAGCGCAGTGCGTCAAATATTTGTTAACCTCATTCAACAGCCATATGACTATTCAACGTGTCAGGTGATCCACAACAGAAAAATCAGCGAAGCGTATGAAGTAAGGACTGCATGGAGTAAGACTAGGAAGGCTGCCTATCATCACCCATGATATTCCAAATTGTTTTGGACTGGATTATGCACCAGACTGTGAGGCGTGAGAAGACACGAATACGTTGGACCGGTAAGTCTCTAGAAAGTCTGAATTTCACAGATCATTTATATCTAATGTCGCACAAACTCGAAGACTTGCAGGCAAAAACCAACAAATCGGCATATGAAGCAGCAAGGACAAGACTTCAGTGGAACATGGAGAAGATGGAGGTGATGAAGATAACCAACAAAACCAACAAGAAACATCAATCACTATCAACAAGAGAAATTTGGCAGAGGTCACATTCTTCACTTATGTAAGCAGCATCATTTCAACTATAGGCTACAGCACGGATGAGAATGTTAAAGACAGCCAGAATCGGAGAGGCAGGGCAGAAATTCATCACTCTGAAATCACTTTGGAAATCTTCTACAATAAGCATAAAGAACAAACTTCTCATTTTCAACACTGACATCAAGTAAGTCAGTTCTTCTGTATGGGTCAGAAACGTGGAGCTTCATGTAAAGCTTTTTCAACAGGTTACAAACGTTTATCAACAGTTACCTTCACTACATATTGAAAACAAAATGGCTGGAAAAGATCAGCAACAAGAAATTCTGGGAAGGAACCATTCAAGAACCTATTGCTTGGTATATATTCCAAAGTAAAATAGGCATGGATTGGGCACGCGGTAAGGAGACCGTCGGGTGATATTGCGCGTCAGGCCATCATCCGAAAGGGACCTGGATGGGAAAACATTGAGCTGGATGTGTGTCCAAACATGAAATGGAAGATGTCAAATGAGGAGGGGATGGTAGCTGATGCGCATCTGTGGGGCCAGCTGGAGAGGACTGCAGAGAATAGGATGAAATAGGTAGGTATGTCCTGTTAAAGCCCTATGTTCAACCAGGAACACGAATGATAATAGTAATAACAAATTTTCGAATGGGGTAATAAATATGCTTTCTCGATTTAACTAATATATTCATCGAAGAAAGAATAATATCAAAGTACGAATGATGGCGATAGAGAAGTGGACATAGGAAAATGTAGATGATAATTCCATTTAGTGAAGTGTCTATCATGAAATTCGAAAAATTGTAAGCTACTGTTACACAATGGCTTATTTTATTTCCTGTGATGGCGGATTTGCTCATATGCTGCTAAATAATTTAATATTTGTGTGGTTTATATTAGTTGTAAATCTTTTACTTTATTTTCCACATAAAATGCATTTTAAAGTGTTTGTTTTAATTACTGGTGTGATTTATTAGACGATCAATTCTTTTTTGTGTATTGACAACGATTCAGTGTTAGATAACTACTTCAACCGACTTATTACCAGGTCTCAAAAAAGAAATATTATCTCATATTCACTACAAGGAATTTCCCCACATTTTTTAATCTATTTTATATAGTCATTATTTTATATCAGCGATCTTTGCCATCAACTTGATTAGCTCGTTAAATATCAATTTAAAGAGAAATCAAAACTTCAAGAAATCAGTCGCAAAACCGGCGACTTGTCAAAAATTGATTATTTTCAAAGTAGATTTTATCTAATATCATCAAAACAATGTGCACCGTGATGGTGAGCTACCTAGAATGGTGGCCACATTACAACCTGACTGATAGAATTCAGTCTGCACCAAAGAGAGGAGTAGACACATCACACTAGTTACTAGTGTCAAATCAAAATATCCACTACAGTCCTACAGGAGGTCAATCGCGAACCCGAATAGCTCAGTGGTAACGTCTCTGACTGCAGCACTGGGTGACGTGGGTTCGAATCTCAGAAGGGACATGAGTTCCTTCAAGGTTGCAGATACGCCTTGATGACGAGTGCCAACTAGCACAAACCTAGGTCAAGCAAGGCTTCCTGCCGATTGCCTCCAACCATCTAAGATTTTATCGCTGTAAGACTTCATTATAAAATCCCTCTTGTAGTTGTGAAATATTCTTAATATACGTCACAGAGTCAAATAACTGTCGGCGAAGAGAATTCAGTGGTCTAGTGAATTTTGAAGATATATAAAAGTTAGTATGTGTGGGATCATCTATGTTTATAGCGTTACATTTGTTGTTATTGAAAGGTAGTAGGCAGGTATATAGGAGAGATACTGTGTTTAGACATAGATAACACTTCGCCAAATTTCCTTAAGCATATACCTCAAAAACGGTGGTCGGTGGCACAGTGGTTAGGACTCTCGCCGACCATGCACATGGTCCGGGGTTCGATCCCCTGCCGGCGCACACCCGATATCTATGGTCGGCCTGAATTTGGGCTACCGATATCCATGCTGAAAGTTCCATACTTGTACTGAAAATACGGTGTGGAATCAAGCTGTAAATCAAAATCAAAATCAAATCAAATTCGTCATAAATTATATTATTGTCGATGGAATAAAGTTTTAAACTTTAAATATAATAAGTTGTTGAGTATTTTACAAATTTACTCCATTTTCATCCATTTATATACACCTTAGTAGATGAGGTAGTGAAGTTACATGAAGTGAGGTGGCTATGGTATGCTCTGTGCATGCCGAGCCGTCGTTTCAATCGGCGAACACTGTTAGCTTTAGAGGCTGTTTAACCAAAAACTGATATCAGTCCATGAAGTTTCCGATAGCTGGTTTTAGCTGGTCATGTAGGGAGGTGTTGGCCACCTGGTTGGAGACCTTGGGATTCTAAGAACCAGCAGATGGAGACAGCTGGTGATATGGCTCAAAACCATTCAAAATGGTGCAGATGCATTCATTCACTGTGATATCCCAAATCTATTAAATCCTCATTATTTTTCAAGTTACTATTCTTCCTCCCTTACATTTCTTCCAATTGTGGTTCTCTTGGATTTTTTTCTTCTTCTGTAATTTTGTGCGTTATATAGAGTGTGGTAATTTGAACTGGTGCAATTCCGTGCAGAGTTTCATGCTGAAATTCAGTCATTCAGACGGTAATTATGTCTGATTCACTTGACTCCACAGTGATTTTAGGGTCAACAGAAATCAGTATAATGTATCAGGCTACAAAGAATGCATTTTACATACATTTACAGTTCATGAAACCACTATACAGTTCATTTTAAATAACACAAATGACATTAAAATATTGACAAAGTATTGCGCAACTTGTATTATATGGCTAAAAATTGTATTGAACCAAAACAGCTATAGTGAGTCCATTTTTCCTCATCATAAAGTTCGACTGGATAACTGACTAGAATTGATGGCAGTTATAATCTGCTTATACCCTGAGATGAGTCTGATGGCAGAGTTACATTACTGACGGAAGAGGCAATAACTTCTTTGTGTCAGAAAAGCTTACAAGGCTTCATCCTCAAACATTCTACATATCAACTGGATCTACAGTGATTGGTAGCTGGTGGTAATATTTATGCATATACATAAAATATACTTTTTAAGTCTCAGAAATTTCTCAGTAATAAAAAAACTTACATTTCATCCGTATTCGCCTTACAAAATAAACTGTCAGCTGATGAAGATTGTGTTCGTCGAATCATTCCACTTGAATTCAATAAATAAATTAAATTATTCATAAATACATCATTTTTCGTTATTGTCGCGTTTCTATTTTCACGTAAACTTGATGAGTTGATTTCGATACAATCTGGCGATCGAGTTGTTTCATTTTCTATTTGTTTTAAATTTTTACTTGATAAATTGTGTATACAGTGACTATCCGCCATTGCGTCTAATTCATTAAAACAATATACATTGCACTCGAAATAGTTCAATTTCGAAGGAAATGTAAATTTGTAAAAGTTTAATGACTCATTCTTTTTCAAATAAGGAAATTACTTTAGAATGAACTGATTAGCATCCTATTGGTTAATTTATTAGCATCTGTTTATCTGATTAGAATTCATATCGATTTCGTCTAAAATTTTGCAGCATTAGATTAGTGTAAATATAAAAGTTATTCAATTTTTCTTAAAATAAATTCATGATTATAATTCACTTGATATTTACTAATTATATGACTACTGATGTGTAATCAGACAGAATACCTTCTTTTTCAAATAATGATTTACTAATCGATAAAAGCTGATTGATCCATTTTCAGTTTATATTCAGAACAAGAAAAGTTAGAGCGAACAGTTGTTTTCAATAAATTCTTCTACAGGCCCTGCACTTATAAACCTATTAATTTCAGCAAACAGTAGGGTCAATAAAGATAAATTAGAATTATATCAAAAAGTGCATAATATGTGGTACAAGTGAAAGATGGAATAATAGTCAATTATTTTTGATTGTCATTTAAAATATGTGTGGTCAGTAAGAATACAAGGTGAAATGAAACGAAATAGTTCAATGATATGTGTTTGTGCATGTATACTGAACAAAAAAGTACTGGCTTCAAGGATTAACGTAGACAGTGGTATGTGAGAGACAATGTGAATATTACAGAGAAATAAACCAACAGACGAGATAGACAAGATGTGAGTTCAAGGGTGACTAATAACAACAACAATAATGATGATGATGATAAAATAATAGCGATGGTGTGGTGGAAACGCAAAAGTACCATTAGTGAACGATTATCAAGTAATAATGAATTTAATAAAGTGGAATAAAAAGGATTGTGCAAATATGATAACGACTTTGAAAAGCATTACATAAACCTAGTGTAATAGACATAATAAGAAATGTCATGAAGTCGTAAAAGGTTTGATGCGATAACCGTCTGTCAGTGAAACAACAAAGGGGAAGAAAGAGGAAAAAGGATAGGAATTTAAAGTGTTAAGTACCATTGTTTATGGGCATTTGTTGGCCATATTATAGGCCAAGATAAACAATTCGGCTTGACATACTTCTTCTACACACAGTGACCAGATCTTCTGGTATTCATTTCGACTGCTAATAGAAGACGTGAACCAGCTCTTCTAGACAGATTACGAGGGGAACGGTGGACGCCTGCTCCGGTCTTGTTGAATGTTCAGTATCTACCAAGTGGGCTAAAACCAAAATATATACGCATTTGGTTTCCCCTTCACTCAACCATAGAAGTACATTTTCATTTGCAGACTCTATGAGTCTCGATAGGTGAACGGAAGCTATGATATAACCATAACACTTTAATACTTCTGAAAGACAACTGGTATTTTATCCTTGTGCTTACAACTGACACAGTTCTAATGATGTAAACCCAGTGAATTTCGTATTGGGGCTGGTAACGGGTAACCACAAACCAGAAAGAAGGAGTACCTAAATTGTTGTATCTTCATTCGATTGTTCAGTGCGAACTTTCATTCTTAATCTTGAGTTAAACGACTACTTTGCTATCATTTCGGGTTCCATTTGGGCTCCACTCGAGGTCTTGATGTGCGATGTCAATCAAAGGTCTTCTCAGCATGCATCTAATCTATCCCCACTTCTTCGGCATATTTGTTGGGTGATATGTTCATGATTGGTTCCCACCATATGTTCTTCACTATGGAGCTAATGAAAGCGTCTGTTGATAAAAGTCTGAAGCCTGCTGGAAATATTTTTCGTGACGTTCCGAGTCTCTAGTCTGTTGCTTTCGCTCTCACATTAATAGTACTAGGTTAGTAATAAGTAGTATGAAATTAACTCCAGGATTTTGACTATTTTCTTAAGACTTGATGGTAATGAGATTAAGTGGTATCTAGTTGAGTATCTCACCTCGAAATGAGTAGACCCGTTATCCTGTGTTTTCACCATTTAACCTAACTTCATAGCACTATCAGTTGGTAAATAGAAATTAGCCACTTTAATTCCAAAATATGAATTTAAAAATATAAGCCTGTGTTAAGTGAGCTAAAAAACCAAGTGTATTGGTGTTTGTGTTGTTATTTAATTAATTTTTCATCTAAGTATGGCGTCACTTTCTGCTAGGTGGTTGACTTCACAGGTTGATCAAATATACTGCTCAAAAGTTAGCGGTACTGAAGAGAAGAAGAGGAGTCTACTGTTTACAGGGACAAACTAGAGTGAAAGTTGGGAAAATAATAAGCCTTTCATTGATTCCAACATTGTCAGTTATTCTGTAATGCGAATTTTCGTTCTTTATTCTCTGTCCCTAATTAAATTCTCATCAGAATAGCAGTCCTCTTCTCGTGTTTGTTTTTACTAGGAATTCTTCGTTATCTTTGCACTTCCGAGGAGTTACCATGGCTGCTACTAATATTTGTTGATAAGTAGCAAATACCACAATGTGGCCTGCACATTCAAACCTAGGGTGGTGGTGGAGTGCATTTTAAGTTGAAAACTTGCATACAGAAAACTTACTGAATAAATACTTGACAGTAAGTACATAATCAGTTGACTATCATGAGGAATTCCATGGCCTGTGTATTTTAGTTTCTGTCATATATGAGTTTTTTATATTCCTTTGTGTTCCGAGTGCAGTAGACGGCTACAAGCTTGAGTTCTAAGATTCCGACAGTGGCGTTGTTTTTCACGTGGTGGGGGTGCTGACCTTACACTCAACCTTCCCTGTTTAACAGGTTTACTACCGTCTGTAGGAGGTCAAACACGGACGTCGTGCGTGGTTAGCGAATATTCTATCACTGAACCATCAACACACTTTGAGTGTTGTACAGTCATAATTAAGTGACATCAGAAAATTGCCTAATCAGTTTAATACAACATGAGCAGACTGAATTTCTGTATTTAATTTTTGTAAGAGTTTCATGTGTAAAGGTTCCCATTCCAACTATCTACTGCATTCATCCCTCTGGATTCCAGGTTAAGTCTTGACCAGTAGGGTGCAGCAGGTCGGGTGTGAAAACAAATACTCTCCGAAGACATTGGCTAGCGGTTGCGCTATGTCGTGAATTGGCAGAAGTTAGAATTCATGGGCCAATGGATCGGGTCCCATAAGGTCCTGGGTTCGAACCCCGGTGGGTGCGTATTACGGAAGAGTCCCAAACTAGGACGAAATAGCTGTACAGTACCCCCAGGTTTTCCAATGGTTATCTAACCAATGTCAGCTCATGATGAAATCCTGTAAATAAAAAACTGATTTACCTTGACATTGATCGAACGAATACAAGTAATCTGATGAAAAGAGGTACCCATTTGCCCCTAATTCACGTGGCATTAGATTTCTAAATTTGTAATTGTGGCATTGTTATGTTTTCTAGGCTGTATACTCTAAAGGTGAAGAACTCGTCATCCTTCTGAGAAACATACATTGTCAAGGGAAAATTAACTAATAACGGACCCTCTAGAATTTCTCTACAGCTGCTAGAAATGCCTATCAATGGAGTTTGGAATAATATTCTCTGAATTTCAAAGTGATGATAACTTTATTCTTAACTGTTCAGTTCTTCTACAGGTGGACGACGTATGAAACCTTCATCAGTATTCTAATTTTTACTTACTCGCCTGATTGTTGGGCTTGAAAAATACTCAGCTCAAACATTCTTCATAATTCGACACCAAACAGGATGCTATCTAAAATAAAGGAACATTCAATGACAATTTTTATTCTACTGTGGAACCTGATAGAATAAAACATGGTTTATTTGGTAACAGGCGCAGACCCTTACTATTCAGCCGTTTAGCTGGTAACTAATAACCTTTATTTTTCAGTTTCTGTTGGTTTACAGTACAAAATTTTTACTGAAGAGTCTCGAGATAGAACGAAACACTTATTTAGTGATACTTGGTTTTCACTTTTTATCTGACATATCTGAATTTAATACCTACAAGCTACATTTAAATCAGTTAGTATATCAGTTCGGGGACTCCCCTTGGGTGACTGGTTTATAGTTAGGCCTAAAAGTCACCAGCTAATTGAAAAGAATCGATTATTTTTATTTCTGTGTGATTACTATATCGACCACAACATGATTCTTTGTGGTAAGAACGGGAATCATGAAAATATGCTTCACATTTTGAATAATTCTCATCCTTATATCAGCCGCATTCTGGACACAAAGTTCTGCCCCTACTATGTTCATTTCCTAAGAAAGGATGCTAAATCACTTCTCAGATCTGTTTACCAGAAACTTACATGAAATGGATAGTTCTCTTGAAGTAGAAGAGCAATGTTATTTATTCACCTTCCTCAACGGTGAGTAAATGCTCCAAAGATACTGTTGACAAAGAACTGAAAAATCTCAGAAGAACCCTGGTGAAAAATATCTGTCTTCAGTTTTACAGCAGAATATCTTGTGGATGTATGGCTTAGTTTGACAGATCTTTCAGAATCCTCTATAAGGTTCGATTAAGCCAGTAACCGGAAGCAAGGTGAAGAGAGCTGACAGATGTCATCTATTAGGCTTTAATTCGCTGTATATATATATATATATATATATGGAGTACCAAAGATACATAAATAGAATTGTTCGATAAGACCCATAATATCAATGATGAATTCACTCTTCCTCAGGCTTGCTTGTTGGTCAGCAAGAAAGTTGAAACCTGTTCGACAACTCCTGGCTTAGCATACTCTGAAGGATTCCTTCCAGTTTTTTGAAAAGGTTAGCCAAATTAATGTGTGTAATGAATATATGGTCTTCTTCTATGTGACCTTCCTGTTCGCAAAGGTTCCGCTTCATAAAACTTTAGATGTCACCTCTCAGCATGCTGATCTGCTCCCTTTACCAGCACTTGGATTTAAGCAGCTTCCTGGATATCGACTTTAAGAGAAGAAAATATGGAAAACTAGGTAGATCAATTTATCGCAGGGATACTTGTTGTGGTCTCTCTCTCCCTC